AGTTTCGCCTCGATTTTATTCGAAAACCTAAAATCGAAAGATAGCAATTCGGTTAATCGTCACATTGACGAGTACGAGAATTAGCGAAACGAATGGAAATTCAAAGAATCTCGATAACTCTTTTAATCCGTATTTCGCGTTTTAATCGTATTCGCTTCACTCTACAATATGCGTGGAACAGGCTGATAAAGCTTGTTGCGACCTGATTGGGACGCAACGAAGTGTCGGTTCGGCGGATTATAGTAATAAACAACTTAGTCACATTTGACCGCCAGACCGAGGTGCCGACGTTCGGAAGACCGCAATACATATACCCCCCGTGGACGCACCAGCGCGACACTCAGACAATAGGTCCCAAAAGCACTCGGGACCATAAAACTTTCGTTACCAAAAGGTCACAGTTTTCGTCGACCAATAGTATTGTAGAACACACCACGTTTTCCACCTCCATAACACAACCACCAATCAGAACCAACCTAATGTCTATATATATACCTACACACCTGAAAACCGTCAATCACTGTAAGACGAGTGCACGAGACACGTCGTCACAAAACGAACAATCCAAATTCAACTAAACATCTAAAACACATCTATTCAAAACAAGAATTCATCAAAACATCTATAACATCTAATCAAAATAAAAAACATCTAACCCAACAAAGAAGTTTTAATACACTTCGAACCAGCGAGAACAATCATCAATCTGCGCCAGAACTCCTGATCATAAGACTTGATCAAGGTCCACGACGCAACAAAGCTTTTAATCTTGTCCTAGCAACGAACCATAATGAACCATTGTGGCACACGTTCCTTTGTACAATGTTTCGCTAACAGCAACAATGTATGCATTGTGAATATTTATCGCGGTTCCATTCACATGTACCTATTCATCTTCGAGGAGATTCGTTGTTTCACGTCCGGTATATGTTGTTAACATTTATATGTACCCGGTAGTATCCTCCCTCTCGAATTTATCGAGTGACACGGAAATTGTTAATCTCAGCCCTTTGTGTATGAACGCAATTCCACGAAATTTGGTTACTTCCCTGTACCTCCGTTAATATTTCCGATCGCATACACAGGTCATGAGAAAATAGAATTTCACAGATGAGATTTCATTCATCATACACGTTATTACGTATATCACACGAAATTCAGCTTGCATTGGAATTCACTGTAGCAATTATACGAATCTACCAGTTCAATTAAAAAAATTGGAAAAGGCAAAACGAAGGTAATACAGAAATTTCAGAAAAAATCTATGGAATTTTTACATAAGAAAAAATGTCTAAATGTAATAATTTCCTTAAACTACCCCAATTTTTCATCCTTCCACTTTACAACGTGATTAGAGTAAATCACAGTGCAATTCGCCGAGAATCTTCCATCGAAAATTCCTCTCCTACATGTACACGCTATCACACGCTTCTTATCGTCGCGTCGTTAATTTCCGTGGGCGATTAATCGTCGGCAAATTGTGTCTGGCGAAGATTCAATAACCGCGGTCACGGTTCACCGACGTGGAAAACCACCGTTTAAGATTCGATCGGTCCCTGCGATCGAAATCAAAGGATCACCGATTCGTGGGGGTGGTTGGCGGTTTGCTATATTCCTACCGGACCGGGGTGGGTGGGGGTGGCTTCGTAGGTCGCTGATTCTCGCGTGGGTAGAGCAACCTTCGCCAGTAGTATCGCGGTGACGAGCAGACGCGGTTGTCTCCTACTACTCTCGCCGATCTTTTCTTAGCTTTTCGCCGTTCAGTGTCCTTTTATTGCCACCCTACTGCACACGACTTCAATCAATCGTGAGTAAATTGTCCGCCGTTCACACCGTTTCGTCCAATCGTCACTTCGTTTCCTCCTTTCGCGCGTTTGCCTTCTGGTGATCAAATATCAGTGGAAAAAATTTCTCTCTCTTCCTTCTTCTTTTCTTCCTGCTGGAAATCACAGAGTTCAAGTGATACATTGGAATTCTGATTGCATTGTTTTATCGACGTTTCATTCCCACTCCAGTGTAACCGGAGAATAAAAATTTCACGTTCGATCGGGGAAACGATCGATCGAATTTTTTTCACCGTTTCTCCCTCTTGTGACGTCGTGTATACCACACAGGGAAGGTGGACATTTCTGTGTACCGTGTGAATTGTTTAGAAACGCGCGGTATTTTTTAATAACGGCTACTTTTGCCGGAACGTCTGTTTGACTTTCGATAGGAGAATATTCCGCGTCGTCGGACAAATATTGATAGAGGAGGCAGAACGCTCGAGCTCTCTTCTTTTTCGACTCTTCTCGCTGGCCGGAATCACGGTGAATTTCGCGGGAAAATTGAACGTTCAGGCTGTTCTACCTTGACACACACGCGTTTACACGCGTTCGCGGAATTTGACACGGTTTTAAGAGCGCGTTAAACGTCGCCCCAGCTTAAATCGAACAAATCCACGGACGGCCTAATACGATCAGTTTGAATAACGCGCGTGAAATTGTCCGGTGATTTAACGAGCGTTTCGTGAAACGCCACACATCTCGACGTCACCGTTAATCCCTTTGTTCAGCTAGCGCGATGTTTCGTTCGTTGTATTCAAATCGTATGCAAATATCGTTGCAGCGTGCATGGAAGGCAGCGGCGAATCGTTCTCGCCCGTTTCGACGGTGTTATCCAGCCAGAACGACGTTCCACGTTAAAATTGCACGTCGCCTAACGTCGAGAGGCACCGTGAAGTTAAACCTCGAAATTCCCATCCGAGCGTTGTAAATTCAATTAAAAAATTCAAAGAACTTTATCGTACGCCGACTGCACGCAGCAAGGACAATGAATTTTTTTTCGTAACAATTAGTCGAGAGAAGCTCTCGTTAGCCACAGAGAGGCTACGTCATAAGTTTGCACAGAGAAAGAAAAAGAGGTAAATTGGTGCTTTTCCTTTTTTTCTATTGAAAATAAAAGAATTATCGCGTCCTTTTTTAACGCACGAGATAATTCGCATCGTTGTTCGTTCGATTTGACTCGGTTCCCTTTTCCGTAATTGCAAGTTAGGTGGAAATGATTCTTCGTGACTCATTTATCGTGTTTGGCCTCCATGCTTCCGTGACGATCAATATTTGGATCGTCGCGATGGTTAAGGCTAGATTAGCTCGTATTTTTACGCGTCTCTCAGGTCTCGCGTTATCGGCTCGCACACCTTTTACGGCCAATTTCCCGTTTCTTCGCCGCGTCCGCGACGCGGAATCGATGGAAACGCGGCACAAAACTCGCGAACACCGTCCACGTTACCCCGTGATCCATCGAGAGGCGCGAGAACATCGCTGCCGAGCCTGCTGCACTTTCTCTTCGCTCGATTAATTTAGCGCCTTGGACGTGGGCTTATGGAAAGACTTGCGGAAAATTGCATTATTTCGAAAACGGCTCCTCGCTTGAAATTCCACGGAAACTCTTGTGTAATTAGATTTTTCCACGGAGAAGTACGATACTACGAGACCTGTCGCGTATTTTTAGAACAGCCGTCTGTCTGTCAGCGGGAACAGAAAGTCGAAGATTGTTCCGTGTCTGCCAGTAAAACGTCCATTGAACTTCATTATAAATAGGTAGAATATATTTCTCTCTTTTTTTCTTCTTCGTCGAACGTTCGAAATTGTGGTGAATTTTTATTCGACGATTCTGTAAGGACGTTTCACCGTAAGAACGTGAAGCATTGATACCGTAAACCGTGGTCATTTCTCTATAACGCGTCTAAAATCCCTTCTAAGCTCAATCCGCGGAGCGAGAAATTTCACGATCGCCGTGTGAATTACGTTCCTCGCGAACACGGATAAATCAGACGGAAGGAATAATACAATCGCGATGTTTGATTTTCTACATTGTGATCGGTAAAGTTTATCGGAACTCGATGCTAATTTTGGACCAAAGTAAACGACACCGGTGGCCAGTGTGCACCGGAATGTTACGAAGTGACGTGCGAACGACAACTCCGGAGGATTTCTCGTCGTATCTGAAGCGACAGAATAAATCGTTCAACCCTTTGCCGTCACGAGGGAAAGAAATTACGAAAATTCGAAAATATCGTTGATTAAAAGTTGCTACGAATTAATTACGCTACTTCAAAGTCACACGACGCGGCTGTGCAAAATGTTCGAGCGAGGGAGAGAAACTTTTTACATGATCTGTTACAATTTTCTTTTCTTCCCCCTCTTGGTTTCTTCTTTGCTGCCTTTTTACTGCTGTAATCGAGCAGCAATTTAATATTGTCCATCAACGGGCAAGGCACACATACGTATACCGTGCCTTCTAAGCGTCTCTTTACGAACTTTCTTTATTCGTCGCGCCGCTTTTTTCCTTTAATGGCCTCGCGTTCCCTTAGCCTATCACGACACCGACCGTATCGAGGACAATACATATCACCGTGGAATACGACGAGTCGCGTGTTCGTTTGCAAGGGACGAGCAATACTGCGCCCAGTTTCGCCCGAGAAATAAAACCTACCAAAGCGACGGCCTTCTTCTTCTTATTTTTTTTTAATCTAGCTAGAAACACACCGTGTTTATTAGTCGTTGGTACGATTATACGCAGCTGATTCGCAGTAACGGTGTGCAGGACGCGTTATCGATAGCGTTAACAGGCGACAAAGAGAGGAAAGGTGAAGAAAAATTAAGCGTCCTCCAAGCTTCACCGACTTAATTCAACCGCGAGAAAATCGCCTGCGTTTCGTATCGAAGTAACAACGAGGGCGGAGAGATTCGAACGCGTATTCCACCGCAGGGAAAAGGCAGACGAAAAGAGAGAGGAAAGTTTTAACGCGCGGAGATTAAACGTTTCACGCGTCTCGGGAAGATTTAACAAGTTTCTTCTGGCCGTTAAAACGGGAGGAGACAAAGCCTAAAAAAATGTCGAAAACGAGGCGACAGAGGAATCCTTTTGTCTCCGCGTTCCTCGCGAGAATTCTCATAGATTATTTCCGCGATTGCGAGAATTACCGTACGATAAAACGGGCGTTTTTTTAGAAATAAACGAACGGAGAATATGGTGGAAGAAAGAAGAGAAAACACCGAGGGAAATATACGCATACTAGAAATGTACACCATGGTTTTTAATTTCTCTTAATTAATTCACCGGTTTAGTTTCCCTCTTTTTTTACATCGCGTCCCTTTCAACCTAATTTCTTCATCTTCCCTCGAACGATAAAAAGAGCTATCTAACTTTTTATTTAATTCATTAATCGTTGATATGCGTGGAACGTTTTTTCTGTTAAATTTTTCATCTAGAAGATGAAAACTGTTGCATACACGTTCCAGCGTTTATTTAGTCCACGTCGAATTTCCTTTCGTTTATCTACCCTTTGTTCAGGTGTAACGAATGTTAAAGCATCTCGTTGGAGAGAAATGAAAGACATGAAGGCAACCATGGCCCGAATTATGCCGCTTGTACGGTTCACGTAAATGCGAAACTTTTCCAATTCTCTGTATAGATTCTGTTGCGTCGTGGACCTTGATCAACTGTTATGACCAGGAGTCTGGCGCAGGTTGTTGATAGTTCTCGTTGGTTCGAGGTGGAATGAAACTTCGTTGTTGGGTTAGATGCTTTTTTTTATTAGATGTTTTTCTTTCAGTTCGTTGAGATAGATGTTGATGAATGATTTGCTTTCGGTTCGTTGAGGTAGATGGTTGATGAATGATTTGCTTTCGGATCGTTGATAGATGTTTAGCTGAGATTCGGTTATTCCTTTTTTTTTGACGATATGCCTCGTGCACTCGATGTACTGTTAATGTGCTGTTTTGAGGTGTGTAGATGTATATATAGGGATCAGGTTGGTTCTGATTGGTGGTTGTGTTATGGAGGTGGAGAACGTGGTGTGTTCTACAATACTATTGGTCGACGAAAACTGTGACCTTTTGGTAACGAATGTTTTATGGTCCCGAGTGTTTTTGGGACCTATTGTCTGAATGTCGCGCTAGTGAGTCCACGGGGGGTATATGTATTGCGGTCTTCCGAACGTCGGCACCTCGGTCTGGCGGCCAAATGTAACTAAGTGGCTTATTACTGTAATCCGCCGAACCGAGACTTCGTTGCGTCCTCATCAGGTCGCAACAGATTCTTTCCGCGTCTAATTTCCGCGAATGCGAATTTTAATACGGACTCGGCCTCGTTCAATTCCTTCTCCCCTAATTTCCACTCTCTCTTTAGAAGCGAAACATTTGCTCACAGACAAGAATTCGAATGATCAAAGAGAAACAGAAGCTGTTCGAACGCCAGAAACACCGCCCGATACTTTCTCCTCCCTCTCTCTCTCTTTCCACGATATTCGTTGTAATGTCGCGACTTAATTACTGCGATCTAATTGATTCTGGCGTTTTCGTTTCGTTCGCGCTTTTGAACACCTTGTTTTTCGGTCGCAAATGCAATCTGTCACATATCGTTCCAGAATGTTGCTGGTAGTAAAAGAAATTACTTGTCGATATTATTACACAACCATTTCATAGTTCAATCTCGTTTGTTCTATATTATCGATGGAGAACATTTTCACGCATCTCTGTTTCATTTCTAAGGGGATGAGAAATATGTTCTTCCCATGCAGCCTGTCATTTATACGCAGAATGAAAAGTAGATTCGTTATATCTTTTGTATGACTAATTCGTTGTATCTTCTATCTGACTAATTTTCAAAGGGGCGAGAAATACGTTTTACCCGTAGCTCGTAATTCGTATGAAAAATAAAAGGTAGTTTCGTCGTCGATTATCATCAATGCCTTTCTACTTTCCTAAAAGAAATGTCACATTTGTCATAATTCTCGCGTCAATAACGGAGAATGACGAAAGTACTGAAGGAATAGGGTTTTATTAAGGTGTCTATTCCGCTAGTTACAAAGATAACACGACGAGTAAGACTAGTTCGTAGCGCCTACACAGGCCTTATCGTATCTGATCGTATCGTATCGTAGCGTATGTTGCAGACTTCTTCCAGACTCACTCCAAACTGACAGACTGTCAGACTCTTTCCGGACTGATTTTCGGCTGCTTTCCGACTGTATCGTGCTTTTATCCTAGCCCAGCCCGAACGTTCCAGACATTTTTTCTAAACCCTGCGCGTCCGGGCTAGGGTTTTTGTCTGCCTGGTCGCGTTACGTTAGAATATTCTTGGAGCTAATGCTCACATAGGCACACACACTTAAGCCTGCCGGCACGTGCCGATCAGTTGGTAAATATATCGAGAAGATTCGATTGTCCGTGTTCGCGATTTCTTTTATCATGCCTGCTTCCCACAGTACGGATATAAATTTTTGCGATATCATTTTTTCCGGTATCGTTCTTATCGAAAGCTCCGTTGTAAAACTATCGGCCCACTCGAACGAAAATTTACAGAGAAGAGAAGGGATTTACGAGGATCCACCATTGAGAATCCGTGTATCTGTCGCGAGACGATCCGAAAAGTTGGACGAAAGCCGGACGAGAGATATACGCACTCCGACCGGACTGTATTATTTATAGGTAACGCGAAATGAGCCGGCCATAAAAAATTTCCAGCTACGTAATACAGTTACCCCTTCGTGCATTTTCTGTCCACATATTTCATGTCTCGGGACGTGTAATTTAGCAGTGTGCCAGCGAGGTCTCTCCGAGGGAACATCAGCACAATGTACTACAACCATTTCCAATTCCGATCTTTCTTTCCGTCTAAGTCGCCTGTCGCGTTCTTGACTGCCGGAAATTTTTTGATAGGAACAGTGGCGTGCACACTTGTTGGATTAAGAGACGCGAAGATAATAGACCGATGGAAAAGAACAGAGGGTTTGTTTAATCTACATGATTAATTTACCATCTACCTGAGAAATGATTAACGACCGTCGAGTAGGGGAAAAAAACTACTATTTCCCTCGCTATAAAACTGTGTGTACCTTCGTCCGGCGCTGTTTCAACTCGAATGTAACTGGAACAGGCAAAGTTTCGAGTTGCGACGACGGAACTGTGATCAACATTTTCCGTTGTCGTGTTTGATCGATTTATTTGCCGACAACTGTTCGATTATTCCCTGCATTATTTGCACACCTCCTCTGCGAATCAACAGTTTCGAATACAACTCTCCGGAGAGTTGAGATCTCTAACGAACCTCTTCGCACTGTATATCGTACGCGTGTAACAGTCGTTAGTTGATAATGTAACGAGGTGCTATTAAGTGGCGCAGCTATCAAAGTAGATTTTCTGAAATTCTGACTTGCTGGCAATGGAACCGCGGTAAGAAAACGTTCCGGTGGAAACGAGGTTAATAAACACTTTGGCGCAAGTGGCGATCGGAGGGAACAGGTAACGCGAATACATCGGAATAAAGGGAAAGAAGTGGATAAAAATGGAGTTTTTCCGTACGTGATGAATATGTTAGGAATATTTCATCAGGTCCAAGCTGACGCGAGATACGTTTCGACGTTGTAGTTCGCGCGACGTGGCTGAAATTACGATGGAAATTCAGATCGATCGGGAGCTTCCAAGATAATCCCGAGTATTTTGTTGCTTTTTTCTCTATCGTGGCATATTTTTCCTCCAAGAGAAAGCTCTCACGTTCGATTAAGTTTCAGATGTTACTCCCCATTTGGACCCGGATAGATTAATGGCTCGCGACCGATACAGTTCTTCGAGTGTGGGAAAACTCTCGGGAGAGAAGGTTGTTGGTTTTTTGATCAGCTTGCTTCGAAAGTTCCAAAGGAATCTCGTTTATATTTAAAAGAGATTTTTCTCCGGGAACAGGTACTTTCAGCGAGAGATTCTCGCAACAAAGCGATTCTTCTTTGAAACGTTCGCTCGTGACTCGCTAAAAAAGGCCAGATTTATCTCTCGAAAGGCGTCAACGCTAATGACCATTGTTGTCCCTTGGGATCACTTTCGCCAACGGTGGAAAAATGAAACACGAAAGACCTTGCAGATGTAGCAAAGATTTCGCCATATTTCTTTGATTCATGGCTCCTTATCCGTTGCTTCTCTTTAAAAAAAAGGAATTCATCAGCCATTCTCTCGGTGAATGTGTTCAGGTCACGAACGATAGATCGTAAAATAAATCAGGAGAGATTCTTCGTCTTCCTTTTTCTCCCCCTATTTTTACTCGAGAATACGTATTAGCCTCAGTCATGAAGGTTTGCGTTACAATTAAATATGCAGGAAACCATTAGTGCGCCGTAATAGTTATCGTGAGTCGGACTTTCCTGCGACTTTCGGTGACACAACCAGCCGACGTCTCTATTTATGGAAAACGATAAAAATGACTCGATCGAACGGCTGGCAAAGATTAACGATGCCGACACCATTAACAAGGATATCGACTCGACGTGAAATTCAAAGGACGACGCCAATTAGTAGTCAATCTACTTCTCGAGTTTGTGTCATGCCTGACCGAGCCAATTCTAATATCAAATTTGATTGGGATTAAAGAAACCGTGTACCACGAGTACCATAGATTTTCTACCTTTATTTTAATTGCTGCACTCTAAAGATATCCTCCAATTTTTTTTAAGTCACTACATAATCCTAGTATTAATTTGTGATCAACTATTTTCATCGATCTTCTATATCTGAGTTTTTCTACATGGTTGATCTATCTGAAGCTCTCAAATTCTTTCGCCAGACCAGTTTCCTATCGATATAAGCAGCTTTACGACGAGTCAACTGCCATTCAGAGGCTATGAATGGAGAAATTTCCTAAAAAATATAGATACTACAGGAAGGGAAAAAGGCGTAAAGTGGAAAAACAGCATCGGTTGATGGGTTAAATGCAAGTACACGGTACAAAGAGGGACGCTTAGCGAGACACTTGAAGGGAACTGTTTCAGGCGAGGGAAACGCGTCTTCTCTCCCTTTTCCGGTTCATCAGCTCGATACGTGGAAGAAATTTGTTCGATCAGAGCCTATACGAAGCTTCGGGTTCCGATAACCACCTATTACGACTGTCAGCTCCGAATTGAATTGCTTCTAGCGTGACTTTGATCTTTCGTCCGACTGATTTCCACCTTGGATACAAGATTTCAGTGATTTTCCACGGGAAAGTCTAGTAATAGAAATCTGAGGATCAAGGGACCGGGTGATATAGAGGACCT